AGAGTGGGGCAGAGAGTGAGAGAGAGGAGGGGGGAATGTTCAGCGCATAGCGGGTCGTTCCGGGCAGCGCTGGACTGAGAGGGAGTGGCGGTGGTGTCCGAAAGGGGCAGCGGGGGCGGCAGCGTGGGGGCCGAAGCAGCAGCACAGCAGCAGCAGCAGCAGCAGGGGCACGGCAGGAGGTAAATTGCTGCCCAAGTGAAGCTCGGGGAAGCTCAGCATGACGAGGGGAATTAGGGAGGAGATTTACATGCAGTGCGTGTTTAGTGGACGGGCCGTGCCCCGGCATGCAGGTGGGCAGGGCCAGCTGGCCGGGGATTAACGCCCGTGCGCGCGGAGGAGCGCCACCACCGTCCCCACGCGCCCGCACCTTCCTTGCACCTCCTCCAACACCCCCATCCTCTGCCCACTCCCCTCTCTTTTTATCGCGCTCCCGTATGATCGGCTGCGCTGCCCGCCATGAATAGGTATGCCACACACACACACACACACACACACACACAGCCCAGCCGGCCGGGACGGGACGGGCGCTCGGCAACATCAATATTTGAGAATGGATATCAGGGCTCTCGCGGCTGGCGATGATTGCACGTCTGGTTTTACGCACCGTAAACGATTCGAGGCGGATTTGCTACCCGCCTAAAAATAAACTGCATCGCGCAAACCACGTGTCTGTCTGGTTCATACCTTGCCAACACCATTATTATTTTTCCCCAAAAAATGGGAATAATCTTGGTCTACGGTGTAAGAAAAGGACGCCGTTGCTAGGATCTTCTATCTCGTTAAAAGTTGGCAACACGTATGGGTGCCTTGTCTGGCCGCGTCATAGGCCAGAGAGGGTGGGAGGAGGAAAAAATGGTCGTTAACCCTCTTGGCACCTCGAGTTACTCATTAGCGAGAGCGGGAGGGCAGGGGGCAACACAACTTGGAGCATTAAAGGCGTCCTTACGCCTTCTTATGGGGAGTGAGAGAGAAGGGGGAGAGGGTGGGATGAGGACAGAGAGAAAGAGACGGGGAGAGAGAGAGAGAGAGAGAGAGAGAGAGAGAGAGAGAGAGAGAAATTTGGCAAGTGAGGGTTATTTCCTCGATCTCGATGTAAATCAATCCCCTGCAGACTGGCAGACTGCACGGTAAAAAGTTTTTCTTGGATTTCAAGATTATTTCGTGAATTTCAAGGACGGGTGGATAGTTTCAATATCAACTCTTGAAATCCCGGAATCTGTTTTGAAACCCTCTGCTTCCAAGGGGCAGCCTTTAGAACTTTTGGTCTGATATGTAAGGGGTTGCCTTGGATTACCAGAACAAAATTTGAAGGCCTCCCCCTCTTGGAAGCAGAGGGTTTCAAGGCAGATTCTGGGATTTCAAGCGTTAAAATCGAAATTACCCATCCGTCCTTGAAATTCACGAAATGACCTTGAAACCCAAGAACAAATTTTAACCGTGTGGGAGATTAAGGCGGGGAGCGGCACCAGAAGCAGCGGGTCTGGTGAAGGGCGGCGGAGGCAGCGCCGGAAAGGACGACATTTTATTAAACATCCCGCTCTATAATCTGCTTTGTGCGGACGAATCGGCGAGGGAAATCACTTTTCGCAATTTCGCCATCAGGAGGGGGGCAAAGTCCAAAGTCCGCACGCTGGCTCAGCGAAGTACCAAGCGGAGGCGGTTCGAGGCGGGCCGGGGCCGCGCCGGGGCCAGGCCGGAGGCGGGGCTGCGACTGAGGAGGGCAGGGCCGCAACAAAGGAGCGGCGGCGGCGACATGGGGGCGGCGGGGGCGGCCGCAGCACGGGCGCGTCTGCCCGGGGGGCACTGGGCGCGACGGCGTGGGGCGGGGGACGGGCCAGAGTATCCACTGCAGAGAGAGGGACGCGGGGCCGCATACATCATATCTCGTGTGAGCCTCTCTCTCTCTCTCTCCCTCTCACTCTCTCTCACACACACACACAACCACCGACCGCCGCCACGGTCTTCCTGACCCCTGTCAACACCCGACCCGACTCTCTCTCCTCTAAAGCGCCCGTGGCAGCGGAAAGAGCCAGCTACGCGGCGCGTCAGCGGCAGACCTGCAGTGACGGCGTGGCGTGGCCGTTCGGGGCGGCGCGGGGCGGGCTTGCAGGTGCGCAGCGAAGCGTCCTAATGCGCCGCTGCGCTGCTGGCCGGCTTGAGGGACGGCTGAATAGGGCGTGTTTATCGTGTCCGGCAGGACGGCAGCGGTGGCCTCGCCGGAGGCGCGCACACTAGCGCCCCAGCCTCGTCCCGGCCTCGTCCTGGCCTCTCGTCCTGGCCTCGCCCTATGGTTTCGCCCTGGCCTCATCCTGGCCTCATCCTGGCCTCGCCCTGGCCTCGCCCTGGCCTCGCCCTATGGCCTCATCCTGGCCTCGTCCTGGCCTCGTCCTGGCCCCGTCCTGGCCTCGCCCTGGCCCCGTCCTGGCCTCGCCCTGGCCTCGTCCTTCTGGCCTCGGCAGCGCAAGCGCAGTCTGTGAAACTCACCCTGTGCCGGGGTGTAGATGTTGAGGTAGAGGCAGTCCTCGCTCTGCGCGCGCAGGTAGGGCAGCAGCCGGCGCAGCTGCAGCAGCCGCCCCCGCGGCATCCTCTCCATGGCGGCGGTCTCGTTGAGCAGGTCCGGGTGGCGCTGCGGGCAGGCGGGCCGCACCCGGTCCGCGACGCGCACCTCGTCCCAGGGGCTGGGCGCGCGCGTGGGGCTGAAGCGGTTGCCGCCGACGGGCGGCGTGGCGTACGGCACGCCCAGGAAGGCCTCGACGGGCTGCAGCGAGCGCTGGCCCGCGCCCGCGCCGTCCATGGACAGGATGAGGCCCTGCAGCGGGCCCGAGCGCGTGTGCACGACGCGCGGGCTGCGCAGCGCCGGCCCGCCCGGCAGCAGCCCCTCCGGGTGGTGGAGGCCCGGCTCCGGCTCCGGGTCGGGCGCGGGCCCCGGAGGCGGCTCCGGGGGAGGCGCCGCGTCCGCCTCGGCCAGCGGCCCCGGGCCCGCCTCCGGGCCTGCGCTGCTCTCCGCCGCCGCTGCCCGCGCCGCCAGCACCAGCATCACACAGCGCCAGAGGAGCATCATCTGACCGCGGCCACGGCCTCGCCAGCGGCGCCAACGGCCGGGGCTGGGGCCTCCTCGCCCGGCCCCGTCATACCGGCGCACCGCCTGGCCGCCTGCAACACAGAACATAAACCACGTCAGAAATGCAAAAACACGAACAGCATCGCACGCACTCAGCACGTCAAAAAGAGGAATCTCTGTAACAGTTCTGTTTTACGCTCTCCCTCCCTTTCACCTCTCTACTTCACAGCGCGTCGTCCAACGTTTCGAGTTTTAATTCAGAGCCGCAGAGAGCAGCTCAGAGGCGCGCTTTATTTGTGTCTACACGGCTCCACACTAAACCCTTATTGTGCATATTTTTGTACATAAAAATGCAGACTTTTTTACAAATGTAAGTATGCACAAATTTTAAGCAAAATCATATACAAATTGTAGATAATTATGCACAAACTGCACATTGTTCTGCATAAAAGTATGGCTGACTGGCTGACATAATATGTTTATGCACAAAACAATGTATGTGTGTCCACCTCCTCTCCCTCTCTCTCTCTGGAGAAGCTCGCCGGCTGCCAGTCTTGTTGTCCCTCTTCATACTAGCCGTTACTCTTTCGTGTGAGCCTGTGCAAGCACGCCGGCGTATAGGAGGGGGGCAAGGCAGCAGCAGCACCAGCAGCAGAAAGGCGGAACCGGCGCTGCTGCTTCACACAGCAGCACGGCACACTGTACACACAAGAGCCGCCCACCCAAAAGCCACCACCCCTTCCACCCTCCCTCTCCCTGGCTTCGCCTGCTCGCGCAAACTTTCAGAAGCCCCCTCTTCTTTAGCGTCGCGCCGCCGCCGCCGTCCCGGGGGGTTAATTTCATTTCCGACCTGCGCCGCGCAGCAACGCCGATGCAAACGCGCCCGCCAGCAAACTACAACTACTACTACTGCCTCATGACGAGGCGGGCCTTGAATTATTTGTGGGCCGCCGAGCCCATAGTGGCCGGTGCGTTGTCGCGGGCCGCCCATAACAGCATGGCCTCCTCCAGGGTCAACCCCCCCGGCCCCGGGGGCCCCGGCCCGGCAGCAAGGCACTCTCTGCTTCTTGCGTCCATGGCGGCAGCAGCAGCAGCAGCAGCCGGTCCTCTTGCTCAGACCCCAAATCTCTCCCTCCGCCCGCCCCCCCCCACGCCCCCAGCCGCCCTTTCTTTGGGTCCTGCTCCTGCTGCAAACCTCCCCCCGTCGCTGCCCGCCCCGACCCCTTTGCCCCACTCCACCACCCTGTGTGCACCACCACACGATCCTCGCCGCCCGATATCAAGATGGATGTGTTTCCTGTCCAGACAAAATAATACGCTAAATCCCCGGACGGCGGAACGGCCGGCCCCGACAGTACCCGCCGCGCAGCCCCACACCCGCAGGAGGTGTCTCGCATCGCTGGCGCCCTTTCCTCCAATCTACCTCTTCCATTATTATTTCGCTCAAAAACGTAACCCAAAGACAAAAACACGTTTCTCGATCGAATTTTATCGCCAATTATTATTCTGAGATTAATATGTGGCTGGACCCGCCGCCAACCCAACTCATACCCTTGGTGCTGCACAGGCTGCCTTTGGTGGTTTCTTGGTCTCCTTGGTGGTTTGCCCCTTCCCAAGACGCGACCGCCGCCGCCCGCTCTGCAGACGAGCCCCCCGGCAACCCCCCCTCTCTCCCCCAAGCACCAAGGAACGCATCCTAGTCCATGGAACACACTCCAAGACCCTCCCCTTCCCCTAGGCTAGACATGCAATGCACGTAGCACCACGAACTTCCCCGCCACGCCCCTCCTCACCCCGCTTCCCCAGAGAGGATCCCGTTCCCAAATCCCTCACACCCTGTTCGCCTTCCCCACCGCAGCTGTCTTTCTCATAGCTGCCCCAGCTCCAGCCCCCC